TTGCCACTGGGTATTTAAAGAAGCTAAGAATTGTTTTTAATTTCTAATTCAAACTGAGACAATGACTCAGTGTTGGTGATGTGAGGGGCCAACATGTTCCATTTGCGAATAGCAACCGGAAAAAAAAGAATATTTAAATACATCAGTGTTGCATTTGTATTGTACTAATATGTGTGTATGTTTGTGTCTTGTGGCTCGTGTTTGTGAATAAGACATGTAATTTAAAATGTCTATTTTAAAGTAATTGTGCAGGATTTTGTCAAAAAAATTTTAGACGTGCCTGCTTTGCTCGTACTTCTAGCGTAGGAAGTTCAGAAAGAGTTAGCAGACTAGTGGGTGAGTGTTCACGTTTATATTTACTGTGGATGAATCTTATGGCTTTCCTATGTACTGCTTCAATTTTCTTTATGCTTGTGCGGGTGTGAGGAAACCACACTGTACTTCCGTATTCGAGGATAAGCCTGACGAATGTTTTGTAGGCTTGGAGCTTTGTTGGCATTGTTGCCATTTGAAGACATTTGAAGTGATCTGCGAAGAAAAAAGTAATTTTTGCATGGCAGATGAAGTAATGTTTCTAATGTGCTCGTCCCACCTTAAGTCGGACATAATTGTTAAGCCTAGGTATTTATGTTTGTGTACTGTGCTCAAAGCAGTGCCATTTATAGTGTAGGAAAAGTTTGATGGCTCTCTCTTCCTTGTTATCATCATACAAGCTGATTTTTTTTAATTGATTGTCATCTGCCAGTTTGAACACCATTCAGAAATAGCAGAGAGTGATTTGTTGAGCGAATAGTGATCTTGGTCCGTTCTAATTTCTCTATAGATGGTACAGTCATCTGCAAATAACTTTATTTTACAGTCTATATTAGTAGATATGTTATTAATATACACGAGGAATAACAAGGGCCCGAGCACGGAACCCTGGGGCACTCCTGACGTAACTGGTACAATATTTGATGCAATGTTTTCGACAACAACAAACTGAGACCTATTAGACAAAAACTCATGCACCCAAGCAACAGTTTCTTCGTCCCTGATGTTTTGTAGTTTAGCGATTAGCTTGGTGTGACAAACGCAATGAAACGCTTTTGAAAAGTCATGTAAGATTATGTCCGTTTGGCTGTGATTGTCAATACCTAGGGCAAGGTCGTGTATGACCTCAGTCAGCTGCATCATCGGTCGATAAACCCCTACGAAATCCATGCTGGTTGGGGGACAGGATGCCCTCATTTTCGAAAAAAGTTGTTAAATGTTTCAAGACTATATGCTCGAGTAGTTTGCATACCATGCTCGTTAAAGATATCGGTCTGAAATTAGATTCAATAAATTTATCTCCCATTTAAAAATTTGAATAATTTTAGCCATTTTTCAATCTTCTGGTCGTCTTGATGTTGAAAGTGATTTACGGAAAATACTGCCGAGATATCTGCTACATCATTCTGCGTATCTTTTCAGAAATTGGTTAGGTATGTTATCCGGACCACACGCTTTCTTAGTATCTAGAGCAAGCAGAAGATTAAAAACACCAGTGTCTGTGATAACGAGAGGGTCCATCACAGACACCGCGCGTGGAACCGATTCCGGCATGACGCCATTATCTCTCGTAAAAACCGAAAGAAAGAACTGGTTATATCTGTTGGCTTTATCAAATTTTTCAAGTGACGATAGTTGAGTGGTGAGCGTGTTCTTTCAGCGAAAGTGTTTACAAAATCTTTGAGAATTACATTTGAGAAAGCTAGGGAGTACAGTATTGAAATAGTGTTGTTTCGCTTCCTTGGATTTTCGTTTAAAATTTTTTTGCGGCAAGTGCAAGTCTGGCGGTGCTATTTAAGTCATTTCCGGCAGCCTTGTTAACTTTCCGTAATCTTTTGAGTTGGCGCTTTGCGTGTATTACTTCACGAGAAATTCACGGGTTATTTTATGTCTTTTTCAGTTTGACGGAATAAAATTTATTACACAGTGTGACACTATGTCTTTGAAGCGCAACCAGACAGCATTTACATCAGTGAAAGGATCTGAGGCCAGTGCCAAAAACTCATGGTATTCTTTAGCTAGATAGGTTTGTATGTGGTCGTCGTCAGCTTTATTGAAATCGATTATGGTTTGAGCTGCATTTTGCACTGATATTTTATAACCTAGAGGCAAAATACACATCGGAATATTATGGTCCGGATATTCCTTCTATTACCTCAACCTTCACCTGTTCTAAGAAAAAATTACTGCTTAGTAAAATTAGGTCGAGTATACTTCGACACTCGCTTTGCTTCCTTGTGGGGCTTTTCACGATTTGGCAAAGGTTAAAGTTTAACATCATGTCGAGATGGGTTTCTGAAGCCTTTGATGTGTACTGCATGGTAGACGAATTAAAGTGGGGAAGGTTAAAGTCACCCATGAGAATGAAGCGGCAGTTTCGAGCATGCTGCTGCAAGTACTTTTGTATCGCAATAATGGATTCATGGCCACATGCGGGACTTCGATAGATACCACCAATGACCATACTTGTGCCATTTGTATTAATCTTACAGAAAATTGCCTTGGCATCAGTTACCTCTGCAGAATGACCAGTGGGATTGATTTCTTTATAGCTAAGGCTACGCCTTCACCACGTGATTGCTTGTCTTTCCGAACGAGTATATAGTTTGGGGGAGTAATTTCATCACTCGAGATGAGCGGGGATAAGCATGTTTCAATCATTGCTTATATATCTGGTTCACGATCGGGCAATAAGTTTTCAAACGCCTGTACCTTATTCAGGATGCTTCGAGCGTTTATGTTTAGCAGAGTTATTTTTTCTTGTGCTGGTTTTGCCGAGATCCTGGATGGTACGCATCCTTTTTCTTTCTTCTACACTCTCGTCCTTTTTTTGAGCTATTTTTTCATGCTTTCTTATTTCAGCTTTGTCATTCTTTTGGTCATCCCAGATGTAAACACGGTTATTGATGAACAGCTTGTTGTACACTAATGACACCTTGTCTTTGTTTTCACGGTTTTGCTTAGCACTGTCCCAGAGTTTCTTGCCGGTTTCTCTAAGTTTTTGTGAGAAGTCTTCTCCTGTTTAATAATCCGTATTTTTCAGCTTGAAGCCGTTTTTGAGTATGGCATTTTTACTTCTTTCGTCAAGTAATTTAAGTATGACTGGCCTCGTCTTGTTTGGTCACCTTTTTCCTAAGCGATGTATGCACTTGATGGCCACAGGTTCGAGTTCAAGAGTTTTTGTGATTATTCCCGCGTTTACGACCTCTGCAAGCGCTTCGCTAGTTTCATCTTCCGCTTCTAGTATACCATAAACTATTAGGTTTGACATTCTGCTGCGATTTTCTAGGTCATCTATTCTCGCTTTGAGGCTTTTAATTACTTTATTCATGCCATTCATTTGTTCATGGCATGCAAGGACTTCAGCTTCAAGTTTCGTAATGACATCAAGCTTGCCATTATATCTGCTAGACGCTTTTCTTTGATATCTTTAATGTCCGAAGCTATTTCGGTAAGTTGTATGGCGATTTCCTTCAAGTCGGGACCAGGGTGGCTTTCAATATCTCCACCCATCAGTAATAGCTTCCTAAGAGATGTCATGCACAATTCATACACAGCACTACACTGTCATGGGCACGGCAATACCAACAAGAAACGGTCACTTGAGCGGATTAATTTTCCAAACCGCTTTCTTCCCTGCAAAATGTAGGCAAAGGGACAATTTGAGAACCCTGTGTCGACGGTACTGCCCTGCCCAGTGACAGTTGGTCCCTCTTGGAGCAGATAAATAGCAGGTGGTGCAGACGCAAGGTGGCGCTCTACAGCAGGTAAGTAGGTGCATGTGCCGGTGGGCTGATTCAGCTGATAGTCCAAGATCGGTGTTGGCATCGTCGATGCGTGGTCGTTCTGTGCTTGCCGGTCCAGCGCAGTCGCAGCAGCCCCGGTAGTGCCGAGGCGCACATCGCCTGAGCCAATCAGCAGGCCGAAGACGAACTGCAAAATGTAGGAGAAGAGACAATTAGAGAACCGCATATCGACGGTATTGCCGTACCCTTGGTTCCTTCCTCAGGGGGAACTGGGGCTATGTCGCAGTAGTGTTTTTAAAGTACCCGCAGGGCGGTTAATAACCCCCCTCTCTCTCTCTTTCCTGTTTTGCCGCGAAACATAATCCGTGTGTATATACTGGGGGAAAGGTTCTCTCGGCGGTTAAACCGCCGAGAGAACCCGAGAGACCTTCCGAGAGACCTTCCCTCTCTCATTCTCCTGTTTTGCCACTTAGCGTAGTCCGTGTGTTCTCTCCGAAGCCTTCCCCGGTGTTTACACACGAACTACGCTCGCGCGAACCCTTTCTCCGAAGCCTTCCCCGGTGTTACACATGGACTACGCTCCACAGCTAAGCAGGAGAGAGAGAGTTGGTGGTGTCATTAACCGCCCCTCGAGTGCTTTGAAGACGCCGCTGCAACCTAGCCTCGGTCCCCCCTGAAGAAAGAACCAAGTCGGTTCTGAAACTTCAGGATTTATGCATCTTCACACACTTTTTGGTTGTAGTTTAAATCGTTTTCCACTTACATACCCAACCAGACAGACATCTGTCGAATGTTTACATTTAGGCTCTTTAGTGTGGTTGTTGAACTATGTTTTGATTTTTGCACAGATACATTGAAAAACATTTTTTTTTTTTTTCAAGGACCAAAGTGAGCTCATTATGCGAGTAATATGGTATTGAATGCAGGACTTGAACTGCAGTCTTTTAGCACCAACGTCTGATGTTGTAATCCCTACATCACAGGTGCATGCTCATCAGGTGGAATAGAGCGCACTTGAGAAGGTCCTGCATGCAAGCAGATGTGCTCAGTCAATCGGCGCGTTTATTGCAATGCTTATAGTTCATGTAGAAATTCTTTGTTCAAGCTAGCACATTGAGGCTTCTAGCTTGTTTTTCAAAGCGCTGAATAAGGAGTCACCTGTATGCTATTCATGTTGATAACGATAAAACTACTTAATTTCTGCCATGATTTTATTTGCAGTGCTGGGACACGCGTCTGCGGATAGAGCTGTCTCGTGCCATCAAGTGCCCCTCGGTGCAGTACCATTTGGCAGGCACCAAGAAGGTGCAGCAAGTGCTGGCACAGCCCGATGTCCTTGAACGCTTCTTCACCAACAAAGTGATTGCCAACAGCATACGTGCCACCTTCACGGGGCTCTACTCCCTCGACCTGGTGAGCACCTTCGATTATATCATTTATTGCGAAAACGTTCAAGAGCCTGAACCTCAGTTCACCTCGTATGCCCATTCCATGCTGTCACAGTTTCTCAAATAGTAGGGCCATGACGTGTAAAACATCGTGTCGCATCATTTTCCCCCATATAGTCATGCCACTGTTGCACTGCTAAAACAAAAAAGCTCCATAACTTCATTCCCCATTGCTACTGGCAAACACGCACTGCGGTCTACAGACACATGGGCTGGCGCTCTCATGCATCGATCGCATCAAAATTAGTACTTATGTTTACGTTTGTGCAAAAGTGAATATTTGGTTTTGAGTAAATTCGAAGGAAATGGTTTATTACCAAAAATCATTTAGAATCGAATTCGAATACTATATATTGCATGTTAGTAAGAGAAATGAGCATAGTTTGTCATGACTCTAATAACCTGCACAATACTTTTTTTAACCTGAAACAAGGCATGTACAAATGTCCTTACTTCTTTTGTTTAACGAGAAGTGGGAGCAGCTTTGAGTAGCTGCAGGAATCGACTTTTGTGAGAATGCAAGTGATAACCGCTGAATTTTGTTATGTGTTAAAATGTACGGTGCTTGAAACTTCAAAAAAGATGAATAGATGTCGAGGTAATACAGTACAGTATTATATCCTCATTACAATGTACCTGACTGCAACAGACATTGTGATACTACATACCAATTGGCAGTTTTATGCTGACCTCTTTATTTGTTTCATTGATTGAGCTTCATTTACTGCGGATTTTAGTGCAACAGAAATTCGCATTTAATTTACTAGAATGTGCAGCCAGCACAGGACTCCCTTACAGCGGACTTTTCTACCGCAGACATCCCAAATTCAGCAACTTGAAGCACTGCTTGGCATACTTTTGGGAAGAAAACAGCATGCCGTGATTATTGACATACAGGTTTGAGTATGAAGGCCACCAATATCCGGTCTGATCATTGTAATCAATTATGCCCAGTTAAGGCAACAAAATGCCAGTGTGCAGCGTGCTTGGTCTTGCACTCCAGTGTGCGTATGTCCGAAATTGCTAGCTGCTGCTCTGAGCCGTCGCTGCATGGTGAGCTTGGTCGAGGGATCCACTGCTGATGCCCATACTAGGTATTGAGGAATCAGTGGGCGATGTGATTCGTTGCTTGCGACGAAGCACGTTATGGCTTTGTGACAATTGATAATGTGATGCTGTGCCAGCAGTAGTACCGCCTACTACTAGCGTCACTTAATGTAAACTTCTGAGCTAGCACACTCTCCCCAAAGAAGTTGAAATGGTCAGCAAAGTGCGGGAGAGGGGGGTGCTATCTCGTAACAGCACTAAAATTCAAGTGGTAGTAAAATTTTTGCGCTAGGAAAAAAAATGCAGTGCGCATGGATTAAAATTTTATTACAGTGAACTTCATTTTGATCCAGGATTTGTCATAGCTTTTTATTACTTTTAAAATTGTTGAAAGACTCCTCTTCTGAGTCGATTACAAAAACAGGTTGCCGCATTCCGCTTGAAGTCCGCCGCGGTCTTCTAGCACCACAGCTGCAACATCGGCTAGTCTGCTGTGCAGGTCTCTGTCCTTCAAGCACCGAGTGCATTACTAATGCAGCATCCCTTGAATGACCATGGCTCCGTCTCCTCAGGTACAACGTCCCACGCCTCGGCAACAAAATAGAGCACATGTTGCCGTGACTGCTTCAAGTTTTCTTTGGGTGTTTGTGCTTCCTCATGCATATACTGCTCCCATAAATGCTGCAAGGTGGACTTGAATGGTTTATTCCAATACAGGTCAGCAGGGATGCTCGTGCACCTCGCAGGCACGTAAAGCACGTCGGCGTTGTGCTCCTCGAAGGCATTTGTGGCAGCTTGTGTCTTATGGAGAGGCGCCTAGTCCAACACTATAGTCGGGTACGACTTTAGAAGAGTGAAGAGGCTCTGCCCAGATGTACCGAAGCACAGCAGCCGATTCGCTCCGCGACTAAAGAAATAGTCCTGCTCAAAAAATTGTGACTGCTTAATAAATGTGTATTTGTCGGTGTAAATAAGATTTGTGTATTATGACGATAGGGTTCACACAGACCCTTGAAATCATTGAATGTCCTTGAATTTGATAACATAAATTCAAGGCCCTTGAAACTCTTTAGGTATAAGTGAGCTCCTTGTAATCCTTGAAAATTTAGTGTACTTTGCTTCAATATAGCAAATGAATGACGTATTTCTGTAAGTCGCACTAATTTTGAAAGCGCTTTCACTGAGGAATGTTCATGAAAACATGTAGTCTTGACAGGAGAGCAATAGCAGCAAGTTTAGGTTTCAAAACCGGCCGTGCCTGCATCGTCTGACAACAAATGCAAGCCAGAAATCCAATCCAATCCAGCCCAAGTTATAGTAACGGTCGGTCGATATGTACTCGGTATACTCGGTCCGTGCGTCGGCCTCGCACATCATCTCTCAGCGGAAGTTCGCGTTTGTGCTGTGTGCAATGCCTGCAACTTTACTTTGACAGGATTACAGATGGAAAGTGCAAGCGCAGCGAATATCATTACTAGATGAGGCCGGAGACAAGGAACCCTTATTCAGCGAAGTATGCGTTATGTCAGAAGTCGGTCGACATTGCAACAATGGGAGAGTCGGCGCTGAAGAACCATCAGAGAAGTGCCCAGCACCAATCCAAAGTTGCAGCAGGCAAGGGCTACTCTTCCGTCACAAGTTTTTTGCAAGCAGCAAATGTCACAGGAACAACTTCCCGGCGGGAAAACACAAAAACAACCTCTTAAGCTGCGACCCTTGACAAAGACTGCAGAAGGCATGACTCGGTGACTGAAGCCGAAATTTTGTGGACGATGAAAGTTGTGTATTCACACTACTCATACAGCTCCAGCAGATCGGTTTCTGAGTTGTTCCGAAAAATTTTTCCGGATAGCGATATAGGGAGAAGCTTCACTTGCTCGAGAAGAAAAATCCGCATACGTCAGGTGTCAATGTCAACGCCCTTTTTTCCCTTCTCAACTCTTGGACATTATGAAGAAATCTGAACATTTGTTGTCCTTTTTGATGAAACATTAAACGAATACCTGCAAAGAAAACAGCTTGATGTTCACGTCAGACTGTGAAACAATTCTGAGGTGACGACAAGGTATTTGACATTAGCATTCATGGGCCACAGCACAGCAGACGACCTCATGAAGAATTTGATAAAAGCGCTGGCGTCCTTTCTGATGAGCAAAATTGTTCAGCTTTCCATAGATGGCTCCAATGTCAACTGAAGCCTTCTCTACAGGTTCCAGCAGCACATGAAAAATGACTTTCAAGTTCAGTGTTTGGATATTGGATTATGTGGCCTTCACACAGTGTATAATGCCCACAAAGCTGAAATGCACGCAACGGGCGGGCCAGTTGACGCATGTTTGTCCAGCTTATTCTCACTCTTTCATGGTGCACCGGCCAGGCAAGAAGATTTTATTTGAGAGACAAGGAGCAGTGTGTTTCCACTTCCTTTTGTATCTCACTGTTGCATCGAGAATGTGCCCGTACTGGAAAGAGCCCTGGCCCCATGGGAGCATTTGAAGCAATACACTGAAGCAGTGAGTGGCCACAGGCTGCACGTGCCAAAATGCAGAGCATATGAAAATGTCAGTGCTTTTTTAAATGACCAGCTTGCACTTGCAAAACTGAACTTTTTCTCAAATGTTGCCATGGTTGTGCAGCCTTGCCTGACTGTATTTCATAGTGATTCTCCCAAGACGTTTTGCTGGCAAAAGAACTTGAAAGTGTTCTGAGGAGCCTTCTGGCAAGGTTCTTAAAGTGCTGTGTAACGACAAAAGCCACTAGATTCGCGAAGCTGCTGTGAATTGATGTTGAAGATGCTGCCGTTTACACAGAACTTGAGAAGGTGGATGTTGGGCGTGCAGCTGAAAATATTTTGAAATGCTGCAAAGCGAGCGCCAAGTGTATTCTCAAGTTTAGGTATGAGTGCCGGAAGTTCCTCATGAACATGATCCTGAAAGTCATGGAGAGAATTCCCCTGAGGTAGGTACCCTGTCGTTCGTGGGTTGTCATGTTTCGACCCCACATAGATGTCCAAGACCGACATGTGCCTTGGGAAGCTAAAAATTGTGCTTAACTGCCTAATCGACAACAAGCTTCTCTCTAAGCACAAACGCGACATTGTGTGCACACAGTACATTCAATTTTGCCTAGAAAAATGACATGAACTACAAAACTATCAAAAAGATTATGAATGTCTTGACAGTTCTTTCGTGCGGCTGCTGAAGCACGACGCTTCATTCTTGCAATTATGGGCTGTGGTGAAACTACTTCTCCACGATGAAGAACGTACAGCGCGAACACAAGACGGGAATACTAAAGATGGGACACAGACAAGCGCTGACTAGCAACTGAATTTTTATTAACACAGAAGCGGAAAATATATACGGAAAAAAACAACAGAAACAAGAAAACTGAAAAAATTACAGCATGACAAAGATTCTTCCATGTTATTGTTACACGCGCTCTTCTAGAAAAGATAATTCTTTGGCCGATAACCCGATGGAAGCCATGCTGATGCATAGCGACCCTTCTTTTGCGATATGAGCGGCTTCAATGATTTCACGAGTACGCATGTCCTGATGTCTGCCGATGATTGTTGTTTCTTCAAACAGGGGTGTGCAACCACAGGAACTGCAATGAATGGCCAAAAAACCTTCTTTGGCGTTGCGCACATTATTTTTGTGCTCTCGGAGGCGGTCATTTAGACACCTTCCAGTTTGGCCTATATAACAACACCCGCATGAAAGTGGAATACGATAAATGACATTATGTGAACAATCTAGAAATTTCTTACGATGCTTGGTAGTGCACTGGCGTTTCCTTTTTTGACAGGACAGGTGACACGTGAAAGATATGACAATTTGTGAGGTGCTGAAAAAACCACTCGAACGCCGCACTGTTGCCCTATTTTCCTGAGACGATGTGAAATATTATGCATGT